GTTGGCTTCTCAAGCTAATGCTCTAGAAAAGCATCCTGGGCACACTCCAGAAATTTTTCTTCCACAACTTTAGTGTTCAACTGGATTATCCGGCCTATCTACAGTTTGAAGTCACCCAAAATTACTGAGTTGCCCATGCTACGTGCTTCTTACATCTGATTAATTCATGCCCACATTAACGGTACTATTTGGAAGCCTGTAAATAACTCCATCCAATGTTTGTTGCCCCTTGCTGTACCTTAGGTCCACTTAGATTCCACGCATTGTTCTTGTGATCTGAGATCCTCCCTTACTAACATACCAATCGCATCCCTTATTATCAGCCCAACGTCACCTCCTTTTCCTTCTTGTCTTTCCTGCCTAAATGTTGAATATCCTTGAATACTTAATTCCTACTTCTGGTCACTATACAGCCATGTATCTCAAATGGAAATTAGATCATAACCATTTCCCTCTATTTATGCTTTTGATCATTGACCTTGTTGCAAATCATTCATGTAGAGTTCCCTTAACTTTGTCTTTCTTACATCTTTCACTTTCAAAACATACTCACTGCTCAGATTTGTTTCTATGCTTCGAGCATCGTTTTGACTTCCTGTTATTAACTTTACTTCCTTCCAATTTAGGTTACCCCTCAGATTTCCATTGCATGAAAAGCTAGTTTACACCCACCCCAACAGCACAAGGAAATATCCCTCTGAGAATACCAAGTTTCTGTCCTATTAAGGTGTTACCTCTCCAATTCCTCAAAAATCTAATGCCTTCTCTCCGATACCAGTTCTCCAGCCCCACATTCAATCAATCAATCAATCAATTAATCAATCAGTCCTCTTGTTCTTATGCTCACTAGTATGTGGCACTGGGAGTGATCCTAAGATTGCTGCTCTTGAGTCCTGCTTTTTAATTTCCTTCCTAACTCCCTAAAATCTGCCTTCAGGACCTTTTCACTCTTCCTTCCTATGTTGTTAGTACAAATGTGGACTATTACTTCTGGCTGATACCCCTCCCCCAGAAGGTTGTCCTGCAGTCGCTCCATGACTCCCTTGACTCTGGCACCAGGGTGGCAAAATGCCATCCTGAAGTTATGTTTCATTGCTCTTCTATTTTACTTCCTCCTTCCCTGTAGAGCTGAGCCACCTCTCATGCCATGGACATGGCTGTGGCTTTGCTCCACAAAGGAACTATCACCCTCACCTGTTTCAAGAAGACCACCATCTTCCCCATACCTAAGAAAGAACATGCAATGTGCCTTAACGACTACCGCCCAGTCGCTCTGACCTCAATAATCATGAAGTGCTTCGAGAGGCTGGTCATGGCCCACATCAACTCCAGTCTTCCAGCCTACCTCGATTCCCCACAATTTGCCTACTGATGCAACAGGTCCACAGCGGATGCCATATCCCTAGCCCTGCATTCACCCCTGGAACATCTGGACAACAAGAACGCCTACATCAGATTCCTGCTCATTGAAGGCACAGCTGTAGTCAACACTATTATCTGGTTGGTTCGCTCGCCAAGCTGGTTCATTAGTTTGCAGACATTTGATTACCCTGCTGGGTAACGTCATCAGTGCAGCCACCGATGAAGCGTTGTTGTGTTTTCCTGCTTTTTATTTAAACCCTGGGGTCCATTGGAGTTGATTACCTCATTTCCAGTTTTTCTTTACAGTGGTGTGTATATAGGGTCTAATTCTACATGTTTATTTATGCCCTTCTTGGTGGAGAACCAGGCCTCTAGAAATTTCCGTACTTGTCTGTGTTTGGCTTATCCTAGGATTCTGACATTGTCCCAATCGAACTGGTGGTTCTCCTTGTCAGTGTGTATGGAGTCAAGTGAGTATTGGTTGTGTCTTTTTGTTGCTGGTTGGTAGTCATGTATTCTTGGAGCCAGTTTCCTACCTGTCTGTCCAATGTAATGTTTGTCATAGTCCTTGCATGGAATCTTGTATATTATGTTGGTTCTGTCCATAGTGGGTAAGAGGTCTTTGGATCTAGTTTGCATTTGGCGTAGGGTTGATGTAGGTTTGTGTGCTACTCTGATGCCCAGTGACCGTAGGAGTCTTGTGGTCAGTTCAGATACGTTCTTGATGTATGGTAACGTGACAAGTGTGTCAGGGTGTACTGTATTTTCCTGTTGTTGTTTGTGTGATAGGATCATCGGACCCAGCTGTTCGGATATCTGTTGTCTCTGAATACTTGGTGGAGGTATTCTTCTTTATTTTGGCATAGTTCTGGGTTCCTGCAGTGTGTTGTGTCTCGTTTGAACAGTGTTTTTATGCAACTCTGTTTGTGGGTGTTGGGTGGTTACTGTTGAAATTTTGAACTTGATCTGTGTGTGTGGCCAAATAGAGACAAGCATAGGAATTTCTAGAGGCCTGTTTCTCCATCAAGAGGGTCATCAATAAACACATAGAATTAGACTGTATATACACAGCACTGTAAAGAAAAACCGGAAATGAGGTAATCAACTCCAACACAACAATGCTTCATCAGAGGCTGCACTGATGATGTTACCCAGCAGGGTAATGAAATGTCTGCAAACTAATGAACCAGCTCAATAAGCGAACCAACCACAGCATCCACAACCCAAACTACAAATCTACTGAAGAACCTTAAACACCATTATCTCCTCCAGACTGATCTCAGAAGTTCGTGATCTTGTTCTCAACTCCGCCCTCTGCAACTGGATCATCAGCTTTCTGACCGACCAATGAAGACAGGTAACTGCACCTCCTCCACAATAACACTCAACACTGAAGCCCTCCAGGAATACATCCTCAGCCTCCTACTGTACTCCCTGTACACCAACGACTGTGTTGCCAAATTCCAAATGAACATCATCTTCGTTGACGACATCACCGTAGTGGGATGGATATTGAACAATGATGAGTCAAAATACAGAAGGGAAATAGAAGGCTTGGTGATGTGGTGCAATGAGAACAACCTCTCTCAATGTCGGCAATACTAAAGAACTGATCATTGACGTCAGAAAGAAAGGAAGGGAACATGTCCCCCCCACCATCTACATTAACGAAATTGAGGTTGAGAGGGTAGAGAGCATCAAGTTCCTCGGGTGACGATAACCGACAACCTGTCCTGGACTTCCCGCATTGATGCCACGTCAAGAAGTCACAACAACACGTCTTCTTCCTCAGACAGCTCAGAAAATTTGGCATGTCCATAAGCACTCTCATCAACTTCTACAGATGCACAATTGAAAGCATACTGGTCTGGTATGGCAACTGCTCTGGCCAGGACCGTAAGAAACTACAGAAGGTGGTGTGCACAGCCCAAACCATCATGGAAGCCAAGCTTCCATCCATGGACCTCATTAATACAGCTCCCTGCTGCAGAAAAGCTGCCAACATCATCAAAGACCCATCGCACCCCAGTAATAATCTCCTACAACCTCTTTCATCAGGCAGAAGATACAGAAGCTTGAACACATGCACCAGCAGGTTCAGGAGCAGCTTATTTCCAGCCATTATTAGACTGATGAATGGACTCTGTAGCTTAAAATAATGCTGATCTTATTAACATTGATCTCGCCTAGCACACACCCTCAGCAATGTAACCTGTATGCCTCTTACTTGCTTACTATGACCTGCCTGTACTGCTTGTAAACAAAGCTTTTCACTGTACCTCAGTATATGTGACAATCGATCAATCAAACCAATTTTCAAAATGGAAGTACAACAGACTCCTGTACTACCAACCTGCTTTTCTTAGTTGCCTGGTCATGACCCATTCTCTCTTTGCCTATACACTTTTATTCATGTGGCTGACTCTCAAACTGTACAGTGGATTTAAATTACTTGAATCATGTCTCTGCCGTTTCTTTACTCCCATTCTAATTTCATCTGGTTCAGCTTCTGGTGTGACAGTATTTACTTTCACTAATCTATTCCTACTTACATATCTATAGAAACATTGACAATCTGCTTTATAGCTATAGCTGAGCTCCTCTTGTATTCTCTTTTCTCCTTCCTTATGTAGTTCTTCATTGTTCTTTGCTGAATTCTAAAATCTTTACAATAACTAAGCTTACTAAATTATTGGCAACCTTATAAGTCTCTACCTTTGACCTACTATCTTTAATTTCTCTTGCTAATGTCACAGACAAGAGGGAGGGGTGTATGCCTTTTTGTTTCCTGCTGTCGTCTTAGAGAGTCATAAAGTATACAACATGGAAACAGGCTCTTTAGCCCAACTAGTCCATGCTGACCAAGTTTTCTAAACTGAACTAGTTCCATTTGTCTGCATTTAGCCCATATCCCTCTGAACCTTTCCTATCTATGTAACTGTCCAAATGTCTTTTTAATGTTGTAACTGTACCAGCCTCTACCACTTCCTCTTGCACCTCATTCCATATACAAACTACCTTCTATGTGAAAATGTTGCCCCTTAGATCTTTTAAATCTTTTTAAATCTTTTCCCTTCTCACCTTAAACTTATGTCCTCATTTTGGACTCCCCTAACCTGGAGAA